ACTTTTTTTTTTTTAATTGTTTTAGTGTTTTTATTTATTTTTGAGATAAGGAGACGGGGCAGGGGGAGGGAAGAGAGAGAGAGAGGGAGACACAGGATCCGAAGCAGGCTCCAGGCTTTGAGCTGTCAGCACAGAGGCTGACGTGTGGCTCAAACTCATGAAACGTGAGATCATGACCTGAGCTGAAGTCAGACGCTTAAAGGACGGAGCCACCCAGGTGCCCCCTAAAGCAATATGCTTCTAAAGAGTCTGAGTCAAAGAAGAATTCACAGGCAAACTGTGAAATATTTGGAACTGAATACTAAGAATAAATGGCACATGTTAAAACTCATGGCACACAACTGAAGCATACTTAGAGACAAATTTATACCTTTCAATGCTTAGGGTAGAAAGAAAAGAGGCCTAAAATTAAGGATCTGAAATCAATGATTCAGAAGCTGGGCAGGAAAAAAAAGGGCAAATTAAAACCCAAAGAAAGTAGAAGAAAGGAAATAAAGATAAAAGAAGAAATAAAGAAATAGAGAATAAGAAGAGAGAAAATGTGCAAAACCAAAAGTGGTTGCTTGAAAATTTTTTTTTGAAATATAATAAAATTCTAGCTACATTGAGAGCAGAAAGAAAGAGGACACAAATTCTGAATAGCAGATTTGAAAGAATGGTTATTGCTGTAGATTATTGCTCTACAGATAGATCTTACCAACTTTAAATGACTAACAAAGAAAAAAAAAAACAAAAAGAATAAATGACAAAGAACTATTATGATCAATTTTATGCCAGATTCAACAACTTACATAAAATTGACACATTTCTTTAAAAATTCAACCTACCAAAGCTGGCATGAAGTGATATGGCAAATCCGAAAAGTCCTACCTTTGTGAGACAAATTTAATTAACTATTAAAAAAAAACCTTCCCACAAAGAAAACTCCAGAACCACATGATTTTTTTCTCATACGTTCTGTCAAACATTTAAGGAAGAGGTAACACCAATCTTAGACAAACGATCTGAGATACAGGATGGAATATTG